AAGTATTAAGACTTTATTAGCAAAGAAATATAAAAACTTCTTGCGAATATCTTTTTTGTGTGTGGTCAGAGAATCAATAAATCAATAAAATATAAAACTGTCTTAAAGATAAGATAATATAAGTAATATATGATAAACAGAAAATTAAAAAAATAATAATAAATATATTAAAATATTCAAAAAAATACAAAAAGTAAGAAATTTATAATTTTAAAAATTATAAAATATAAATAGTTTAATTAAAAAAAGTAATTATTTTAAAAAATTAAAAATTTTTAAATACTTAAGAATATTATAAATAATATAATAAAAAAATCTGATTTCAATATAAAAAACTTGAGTTATTATAGGATTATAACAAATATTTTTTGAAAGAAATAATTATTAAAAATAAGAAAGTAATAAATTGATTTAAAATTTTAGGTTACGATAAAGATGTCAAAAATTTTAAAAATATAATTAAGAAAATACTAAAGTAAAAATGTGAAAATCTTAAAATAATAAAAAAAAAAGATCTATTCTTTAACTAATAAAGTTAAAATCAAAATTATTTTAGATAGAATTAAGATTATAAAAAAAAAGAATAAAAGTATATAATAATAAAAATATAAGAAATAAATGAGGAATTTCAAAAATATTACAAAAAAATATTTAAAAATAAAAATATTAATTTTGATATTTTAATTAATAATTAATAAAAAAAATATTAGTCAAAAGATTATATTAATAAATATTAATATAAAAATTTGTTTTTATCAATTATTAAAGAAAGATAATTATAATACTATAGGTTTTTTTTTAATAAAAAAGCTTTAAAATTTTTTAAATTTATTATAAAAGATTGAATAAATAAAAAGATTAAACAAAAAACATTTGAAATATATTTTTAATAAAATTTTATTATGACAATATATTTTTATTTAAATAAAAACAAAGTTATAGCTATTTTATCGTCAAGTCAAACTTTGAAAATATAAACTAACAAATAATATTGCTAGAAGTAATTTGCAAATATTTATCAATACTTATACTAATAAACTAAAAAATATAAATAAGATATAATATTTTATATAAATTAAACTTTGCTAAACTATTAAAAGAAAGCATAGTAAAACATTTATAAGTATTAAACAATATATGTAAAGATATGAAAGAGAATAAAAAATATTATAGATATTGTTTTAAAATATAGTTAAAGCATATAATACAACTAGTTAAAAAATATTAGTCAAAACAATGGAAAAAATAAAAAATTTCAAAAGATTTTATAAAAATAATTATAGGTTTCTTTCATAATAGAGAATTCCAAGTTATCTAAGAGAACAATTTCTTTGACACTATAACAACCAAGAATGAAATAGATCAAAAAAAAACTATTTTACTATTAATGTAAAGAATATTTTATAATTCTCTATTGTACAAAATCAAAAATGATAACATAAACGGTTATTAAATAACTACAACAGAAATAAAATATCAAATAAATAAACTCGAAACTATCTGAAAACAGCAAGAATCTTTTATAAAGCTAATGACTTCCAAATCAATAGCCAAAAATCAATATTAATTATAAAGCCTATAAGGTAAGGTCGGAAAATGTAACATCTATGCCATGTATAATAAAAATAATTGAATTTGTAAAATACGAAAATATACAGTATTTTAAGTTTGCCATTCATTTTCTGTTGTAATTCAGAACCGCTAGTTAGACATGTCGGAAACAAAACTGGCTATTCTGGACTGTAACAGTTCCGGAATATGGCCGTCCATTAAAAATTTCCATTTATAAAAAGGTGATCCTTTTCCACATAACACGTGTAAAACGATGACCGAGACAGATTTCGAGGCCATCAATAAAAATTTTACAGAATGGTTTTGCGCCAACGGTGGAATCATCTCTTCCAAGATTGCATTCAAAGATTATACATTTGAGAACGCGGGTCGCGGTGTAGTTGCGATTGATGATATTGAGGTGTATATCGAGTGTTTTCACGTTTCGTCGTAGCAATTTATATATAGTTTGATTCTCAATTAGAAAGACGAGATTCTGTTCGAAATTCCGCATTCGATAATTCTTTCATCAAAAACATCATATCTTGCTACTCAAATATCATCCGATGAATTTCAAAGCCTATACAAAAAAAACCAATGGTTTCCATTAATAGTTTGCATGATGTATGAAAGTCAAAACAAAGATTCCTTATGGAAACCCTATTTTGATATTTTACCGTCTGAATTTGATACGCCAATGTTTTGGAATGATATAGAACTTAATGAACTAATGGGATCGGGTGTTATCGGTAATAAATCACTCAAACTCTAAATTTATCTGAGGGAATCAAGTTTATACAGTTTTTGCGAAAAAATTTTTTTAGATAAAATTGGGAAAGATGACGCCGAGAAAGCATTTAATGAATATCTATTACCAATTATTCAAGTAAGTAAATAAACTCGAATATTTTTTCGATAATATTCTGATGAATAATAAACTCTTAAATAAATAGGCCAAGCCATCCCTTTTTGACCCTGAAGTTCATAATCTTCAACTTTTTCATCGAATGGGTTCTCTTATAATGTCGAATGCATTTCATGATGATAAAAATCAAAGCGAAGAGGACGAGGACAGCGGAGAAGAGGACGGTAAAAAAGGAACTGATGAAGAAGTCACAATGATACCAATGGCTGATATGTTGAATCATAAGACTGGCTTTAATAACGCATGTCAATTTTTTTGCTGCTAATTAATTTAATAGATATTGTTTAATATTGACAATACTTTTGTTAATTAGGCCAGATTATTTCGTGAGGAAGGATTACTACAAATGATGGCAATAAAGAAAATAAGCAAGGGCGAACAAGTAGTACGCATGTTTTCATTGTAAAGTTATCGATGCATAATGAAATCTGCTAACATATTTTCTTCATAGTTCAACACCTATGGAGATTTATGTTCTGCAGGTATACATTTAAAAGCCAGCAATTAAGTTCGTGCTTGATAATTGTAATAATATTTGTTAGATCTCTTGCGCAAGTATGGGTTTGTCGATGAAAACAATGATCATGATATAGTAGAAATAAATGGCAAGTTGGTAATTGACGCTTTATCGGTAGATGAAGATATTGAAAAGGAAAAGGTAATTGAAATATTTCTGAATTTTCGGGTATTTAAGTAATACATATCAATTATGACTTGACTTTGTTAAGGTTGAATTATTGCTTGAAGAAGAAGTCCTGGACGAGTATGTCTTTTTTTTTTAAAAAAAAAAAAAAAACGATCATTTTTTTGTCACATGAAATTCATCATTCCTCCTCCATCTTCGCATAAGTTTGTTTGTTTTGGACACCAGTGGCGAAATTCCTCCTGAGTTAATAATAACTGGTAAAGTAAAAATGACCTTTTAGAGGAGTTAATTTTAATGGCGTTAATAGTAAACCTTTCATCAGTAAAAGTGATGATGATGAATAAAACTCAGTTTAAGCCGGTGAAGAAGACTGGAATTCTCCCAGAACCCGTGATATCGATTGAAATAATACAACCACTTGTGGAAATTCTGGAAAAGAGGCTATCTGATTACAAAACTTCGATTCCTGTAGCTAACTTTATTTTGAACTTTTATTAATTGTTGTTATTAATGTCATTTCGCAAATTAATCGAAAAAGCTTTATCGTTTAAACAGGAAGATGAGGAAATATTGAAAGGACAGAATATTTCGCTTAGAATGAAGTACGCTGTAATGTTAAGATTAAGTGAAAAAAGAATACTTCAGAAGCATATTGATGATCTCAGATCTTACAAAGTCAAGGATGATAATGAAGAAGGTGGTAGCAATAAAAAAAGGAAGTTGAAATAAAATATTAATCTACTATGTATTCGACCGATTTATTATTGACAAAAGTTTTTTTAAAAAGAATGTTATGATGCAAAAGAAATTACTAATTTTAGTATTGAATATATAACTATTATTCCATATTTAAATCTTAAAATAATAACTTGAAATTATTAATAGATTTGATTTTATTATTCATAGGCCTATAAAAAACATTACAAAAATTTAAACTATGATTTTCAATTAAAACTTTTTAACAAATCAAGTTTTTTAATGTCGAAAATATTTTTAAATAAATTTTTATATTATTCTTATTAAAATATAGTAGTTTGAAAAAAAAACTGGAATTTTCTTAATATATTAAATTAAATCAAACTTTAAATACAAAAACTTAATAATTATTTTTGAAAATGTATCAAAAATTCAAAATTATATTTTCAAAAATAATAATTTGAAATTATAATCTTGAATAATAATCTTAAAATTATAATTTTAAAATTTTATATTCTTTATTTATTTTTTATTTTTTATTTTAATTAAAATTATATTAAATAAAATATAAGATAAATATAAGATAAAACTTGTATAAAATAAAAATAGCAGATCCAAAGTAATATATATATCTATTGTCTATACTTTGAATTCTATCATATATTTTTATTTTACATATTATATATGCTTAAAATTAAAAATTAAAATTTTACAACTAATATTTAAATTAAACTAATTTTTATTAGTCCATAATAATTAAAACTGTTGTACTTTGAGGAACTATATATAAAGCAATAAGAATAATTAATATTTTTGCTTTAATTACTTATAGTAATACTCTTACCGAGAACTGTTTGATAATCTTATTATTTTTTACTAGAATTTATATGAAACTTATTTCTAGTTTACTATTTTTTACTAGCTTCTTGAAAGAGCTATTTATATAAAATATAAAATAGTTGTTTATTTTATTTTTTCATATCTTAAAATACTTATTAATTTATTCTAGTGTTCTTTTAATTAAATAGTTTGTTTGATTAATGTAATCTTTCAATTTTCTATTTGTATCTCTATTTCAATAGAATTAATATTTATGAAGCTATTCTTTAATGATTCGTGAATATTTATCAATTTATAAAATTATTCAAAAGAAAGATTTGTTTTTTTTTTTTTAACTTCTTTTATTTATTTAAATATAGAAACAAATTAGTTTGTTTAATCAATATTTCAAATGCTCAAACTATTGTATCTGAATGAAGAAAATATAGTTATTAATAGAATTATATGAGAGCCAATATAAAGTAAAAAAAATTTTATTCTTTAAGAACATAATTTTTTCTATTTTGTTATACAAAATACTAGAAAAGATCTCCAATATATATATTTTTTATTTCAATTGATAATATTATTTAATTTATATATTATAACTTGTTTAATTTATCTCATATAATAACTTTTATAAGAGATTCTAATTTATTATTATTTTTTTGAATATATTTTTGAATTAGAAGAGAATTGATTCTTTGCATTTGTCAATGTCAAAGATTATATAAATAATGTTATTTATATTCAATAAATTTAAAATCCAAAATTGAAAGTTTGATATTTAATATTAAGTATTATAAAATAAGAAACTATGAATTAAGGCCTAAATAATAATAAAAAAATTGTATGTGTATAATAGAGTATAAAAAGTTTAGCAAAGCTTAAAGTTAGCATAGCCTATTGTAAAGTAAATAATCTATTGTTAATTAGAATGTAATGAATCCACGCCTGTCCCCATCAATTCTGTGTAAGTATACATGACTCTGTGTGACTATGGACCCGAAGTCCGCCCTGTCTACTATTT